AGAGCTCCGGCGCTCCGGTCGCTCTGGGACGACGAGGAGGCGGCCATGCGCGCGGAGATCGCGACCCTCGAGGCCGCCGCGGCCGCGCGCGCGCGCGCCGCCGCGGCCGCGGCGGCCTTCGAGCGGAGCCACGCCTTCGCCGCCGCGCCGCCGGCGCCCGCGCGGCCCGCGGCGCGGCCCCTCGACGACGGCGTCGGCCGGGGGAGCGCGGCGGCGTCGCTGCCGCGCTACGCGGCCGCGGCGGTGCGCGTCGCGGAGCTGCGGCGGGGGCAGCCCTTCGTCGTCCGCGGCCGGGGCGCGGCGAAGCCGGAGACGTACCACGCCTGGCTCTCGCACGATGCGCTCAAGCTGCAGTGGCGCCAGGGCGGCGGCGGCGCGCCGACGGGCGCGGTGCTCGTGCGGGACCTCGCGACCGTCGAACTGAAGGAGCGCAAGGGCGCGCCCGTGCTCGTGCTCCGGACGCCGGAGCGGCGCCTCGTGTTGGAGTTCCTCGAGGGCGGCGACGTCGGGCCCGACGCGTGGGTGGCGACGCTCGCGCACCTCGCGGGCGGGGGGTCGTAGTATAAGATCGCGGATCTTCACGCGTTCGGATCCAAGTCCGGATCCGAGTCGACCCGCGCGCTTCAAGTGCCGTGATCGTGCCGTCGACTGCAGGGCCGGGCGGCCGATGTGCTGAGTCGTTGGGGCTGCCTCCCGTTCGAACGATGCTGCGCTGTTTCGCCGCCGTCGCCGCCGTCGCGTCGGCGCGGCCGACGAAGCAGCGGCCGCGCGGCAACGCGCCGCCCGTCAAGGCGCCGCCGCTGCCCCGGGCCGCCCCCTGGCCGCGGCCGGCCCGCGGCGACTACCTCGCGGCCTGGTTCAAGCGCAACGGCGGCGCCGTGGCGCCGCGCGACATGTACGCGGCCGACGAGGTCTGCGCGTTGAGCTACGTGCGGTCGGGCAGCCACCTCACGCGCTTCGTGCTGGAGTACCTCACGGGCCGGCCGACGAGCGGCTGCCCCGGCCAGGTCCAGGGCCGCGACGCGGACCCGCCCATCTACCGCATGAGCGGCCAGGCGAGCGGCGCGGCCTTCGACGCCCTGCGCCACGTCGACGGCGCCAAGCGGCCCGCCGCGATGAAGTTCCACTGCCCGGAACTCGGCTCCTCGTGCCACAAACCGTGTACGCCGAACATCCGAAAATGCGCGGCGCTCCTCTTCGTCGCGCGCGACCCGCTGGACGTCGTCTGCGACGACACGCAGACCAAGTGGTTCTCCGCGGACCGCGTCGCGAGCAACGTGCGCTGGTGGACGGAGAATTTCGCCTTCTTTTCGGCGTTCCGCGGCCGGAAGCTGCTGGCGCAGTACGAGCGCGCGCTCGACGACGGCCCGGCCCTCGTCGGCGAGCTCGCGGCGTTCCTCGACGGCGGCGGGCGCGTCGTGCTCCCGGAGAAGCGCGAAGCCATGGAAGCGAACTACTACAACCTCAGCGCGGCCATGGAGGCGTTCCTCCACGGGCCGGGCAGGCACCCCTACTCGGGCAAGCCGTCGACGGTCGGCCGGCCCCTCTACGAGCGGTTCCTGCGCTGCGCCAAGGACCGCCAGGACAGCGCGGCGCGGAGCCTCGCGCTCGAGCTCGCCCGGGGCGACGGCCTCACGGAGCTCTGGGCGTCGCTCTACGCGAACCGCACGGCGCGCCTCGGCGCCGTCTTCGCGCGGAACGGCCTCGGGGGGTGGCTCGACGCCGCCGTCGAGGCCGCGCGGCGCGGCGGGGCATAGGCCCGGTAGTAATACGATCGATGGGCGTTTAGGCGTAGTCCGACGCGGTCTCGACGGCCGGGGCCTTCGGCGGCTTCGGCGGCTTCGGCGCCTTGTCCGCCTTGGGCGGCGGCGGCGGCGCCTTGGGCTTCTTCGCCTTGGCGCCCTTGCCGTCGGCCTTGGACGCGCGCCCCCCCTTGCCGCGCGCGTCGCCGCGGCCCCCGCCCCGGCCGTCGCCGCCGCCGCGGTTCTCGCGGCCCTTGCCCCGGCCGTCGCCCTTGCCCTTGCCGTCGCCTTTGCCCCGGCCCTTGCCCCGGGCCGCCGCGCGGGCGCCCGGCGCGGGCTGCGGCGCGTGCGGCCGCACGAGCGCGCGCTGCTCGCACCCGAGGACCGCCGCGGCGCACTTGACGGCGTCGAGCAGGAGCGGCGGCAGGCGCGCGCGGCGCACGGTCAGCAGGAGGGCCCGCCGCAGCCGGAGACGCAGCGCCAGCACGCCGTCGAGGGCCGCCGGGTCCACCGCGTAGCGGAGCCAGCCGTCGACGCAGACCGTGGCGTCGTTGCGCCGGACGTCCGAGTGGCACAGCAAAACCAGCGCGAGCGTCGCGCAGGGCTGGGCCGTCGCCAGCTTCAGACCCGTGCGGAACTGGGCGTCGCTCTCCAAGAGCGCCGCGAAGCAGAGCAGCTGGGGCTGGTCGGCGTCGTTCCGCGCCTTCGTCGAGAACCTGTGTGGAATTCAAACAGTGAGCTGAGTTATCCCAACCAAACTTCAGAACTCTCTATCTCGGCCAATTCGAAGTCGATTCGGCTGATTTTTGGACGAATCGATCGCTCTCGTCGAGTTCTCGAAGCACAGCCAAAGATCTTGCGTCGAAACGGTCGCATACGCCCACATTGAAGTCGGGTTGAAGATTTGATTTCCACACCGTCGAGAACGGCGACTCGCGGTCGCCCGCGAGCGACGCGTTGTGCACGCGGCACTTGGCGCCGCAGCGCGTGCCGTACTGCGACTCGCCCGGCAGGCGCGCCGCGACGTTCGGGTAGAGCGCGAGGCAGGCCAGCGCGTCGAAGGCCTCGTCCATCACGCCGTGGTCCGAGGCCGGGTCGCATCGGGGCACGTCGCGGTCCAACTGGCGCGCCGCGTTGACGACGATGGACAGCGTCGCGTAGGATAGGGACTTGCTCCGGCAGTAGCCGTACGCCGCGCCCGTGCCGCGCTGCTGCGCGTCGCGGAACCCCTCCGCGGCGCCCCGCAACGCCTTCACGTCCGACAGCGAGTCGCCGCCGAACTCGCGCCGGCTCCGACTCCGGCCGTCGCCGCCCGCGGCGGCGACGAAGGGGTCCTTGGCGTCGAGCGTGCAGAGCATGCGGAAGGCCTCGGGCGCCGCACCCTGGCAGAGGAGCCGCGCGTACGCCGCCGCCAAAGCGAGCCGCGGCGCGAGCGGCTGCGTCGCGAGCGCGGCCCCGAGCGGCGTCACGGACTCGTCGTCGCTGAAGAGCGCCCCCAGGGCGATCAGGGACTGGACGGCCACGTCGACGGACTTCTCCCGCGGCGCGTTGAGCGCGCGGCCGAGGAAGTCGCGCGCCGTCCACGCCTGGGCCGACCCCGCGCGCGGCGTGATCCGCAGCGCGGTCGCGTGGAGGCAGAGCCCCTCCAAGTTCGCGCGTAACAACTCCGACAGGCGCTGGGGCTCCATGTGGTCGTGGCGCCGCTTCGTGTAGAGGCGGAAGCAGACGCCCGGCCGCGTCCGGCCCGCTCTCCCCTTGCGCTGGCGCGCGGACGCCTGGCTCACGTAGTTCGACCGGAGCACGGACGCCCCGAGGTGGTCGTCGAACTTGACGGTCTTCTCCAAACCGCCGTCGATGACGAAGGACACGTCGGGGATCGTGATGGACGTCTCCGCGACGTTCGTCGCGATCACGACCTTCCACCTGTCCGGCGGCGGCGCCTTGAACGCGTCCTTCTGCTTCGACGACTCGATGGACCCGTGGAGGGGCACGACCCAGAGCACATGTTTCAGGTCGTCGTCGGCCTCGATGGCCGTCGCGATGGACTCGATGTCGGCCCAGCCCGCGACGAAGACCAACACCGCGCCGCGCTCGTACGAGCTGCGGACGACGTAGTTGAGCAGCGCGCAGACGAGCAGCTCGTCCAGGGTCTGCTCCGCGACGCGCCGCTGGTAGACGCGCACGAGCGCGTCGCCCTCGCCGTCGGCCGACGACGCCTGGGACGCCGCGAACGCCGCGGGCGCGTTCCGGGGGTCGTCGTCGTCGCGAGAAACCGGGCATAGATGCAGGCTGCCCACGCCGAGCTCGAACTCGTCCTCGCGGTGGTAGATCACGTCCGCCAGCACCGCCGCGTCGTCGTCGCCGCCGCCGGGGGACGCCGGCTCCTCCATCTCCCCCAAGCACTCGGCCATGTGGTCGCCCAATTCCTCGGGGCTCTGGAACGTGCTCTTCCCGCAGAGCGCGCAGCGCAACCCGAGATCCAACGCCTTGCCCGCGGCGACGACCTTGGCCTTGGCGTCGGCGTCCAGGCCGTCGAAGGCGTCCGCGCGCGGCGCCTCCTTGGGGAGCGTGACGTATTTCGTCTGCTTGAGCACGTCCTCGAGGAAGAACGTGGACACGGGGAAGTTGGACCCGCCGATGGAGATGCGCGGGCAGCCCCCGAAGTACTCCGTGAGCTTGTCCGCGGCGAGCGTCGCCGACATGAGGACGAGGCGCAGCCGGGGGAGCGTGTCGTGGTTCGCGCGCCGCGCCACCAACTCCCGCAGCGCGACCAATAAGAACTCCGTGTCCCGGTCCTCCTCGTGGACCTCATCCAGAATAAAGTGCGTGTAGGCCACGAGGTCCGGGTCCGACCCGAGCTTCCGCAGGAGGACGCCCGGCGTCGCGAAGCATAGCCTCGTCGCGTCCGAGAAGCTCGACTCGAAGCGGACGTGGAAGCCCACCTCCCTGCCGAGCTGCGACCCGCGCTCGCTCGCGACGCGCTCGGCGACGGCCATGGCCGAGATGCGCCGGGGCTGGGAGCAGGCGATGCGCGCCTCCGGGTCGCCGTCCAACACGAACTGCGGCACCTGCGTCGACTTGCCGCAGCCCGTCTCGCCGGCGACGAGCACGACGTCGTGCGCCGCCACCAGAGCGGCGACGCGGTCGCGGTACTCCCAGGCGGGGAGCTTCATGCGCGCGGCGAGCATGGCCGGCGGGATCTTCGGCGGCGGCGCCGGGGCCTTCGCGGCCGCGGCGCGCGCGCGGTTCCGCGCGTTGCGCACGCCGCCGAGCGCCGCCGCGGAGCCGGGCTCGGGCGACGCCTGGGCGTCGGCGACGTGGCCGCGCCGCGCGGCGTCGCGCTCCGCCGGCTGCGCGGGGTAGGCCGCGAAGTGCGCCGCGAGCGCGGCGGCCGAGCCCGGCGCGAGGCTCGCGACGGGCGCGTCGCCGTCCAAGGCGACGACGTGCTGCGGCTTCTTGACCGTGAGGAAGCGCTCGTCGCCCTTGCCCTGGGACTTGGTCGCGAGGCCGAGCTTCGGCGCGTGCGCGTGGACGAAGCGCCGCTCCTCGGAGCTCAGCGTCGGCGGGAAGGCCAGCGTCAGCTCCGACGACTCGCAGAACCGCGACAGCTGGCGCTCGATGTTGATGCGCCAGGCCTCCTTGCCGGGGGTGAAGCCCGGTTGGCGCGCTTCACGCGCGGGACGCGGCGGCATGCTGCGCTGCGCGTCCGACGCGGCTGCGATGCGCTGCGCACCCGCGCGCGCGTCGAGGCGCCTGCTGCGATGCGCTGCGACGCTGCGGTAGAAGTTCGTCGAGACGGTCGCGGCGGTCGCGGCGACGCGCCCCGGCGCGTTGACGCTGCTGCGAGGCGCTGCGCACGACGCTGCTGATGGCGCTCCACACGGTCGCGACGTCGCGGCCCCCCATCAAACCCCGCCGCCGGCTCAGGGCCGCCTCCCGACGCCGTCGGCCCGCCGCGCCGTCGCCGCCGCGTCGTTACGCGAAGCGGCGCTCACTCGTCGCCCCCGAACCCGTTGGTCTCCTCCTCCTCGAGGCCGTCCTCGAAGTTGTTCTTGAGGTGGCGGCGGCCCTTGACCTGGGGCTTGTACTTGTCCTTCCAGGAGCTGTAGTCGATCTCGTTGGACCGCTGGGGGAAGCCGGCCTCCTCGAGGGCCTTCTTGACGCCCTGCTTCCACTCCCAGGTCTCGAACTTCTCGCAGTACTTCTCCGTCTCCCGCGCGGCCTGGTCCATCTCCTCCTTGGTCAGGAACGGGCGCCCGAGCGCGGCCTCGAGCACGTCCTTGCGGTTCCGGAGCGTGTCGCCGGCGAAGGACAGGCTGTCGCCGTCCTGCTCGATGGCGGCGAAGACGATCTCCTCGTCGTTCTTCAGCGCCTCGGACGCGACGTTGAGCGCGTGGCCGTCGCTCTTCACGGCCGCGAGGACGATGCGCCGGTTGCTGCGCATCTCCTCGGCGGCCGTCGCGAGGTAGAGGCCGTTCTCCTTCACCTTCTCCAGGCAGAGGTGCTTGTCCGTCTTCCAGGAGTCGTCCTGGCGCCAGGAG